TCGCGTTCCTACGGTGCAAAAACACGCGTCGAACTGACAGCTGCGCGAATAAATTCCTAGATGAAGGAGCAGCTAACGAAATAACAGCGGTAACGGAAATAAGTAGCGGTAACTCCAGCAGAGTTTTTACTCTCTGCTTTTTAGCAAGAACAACCGTGGAGAGATGAAGGTGAATTTTATACTCGCGTTCGCAGACTGCGAGTTTCATCGCGAAAGAAAGCGCGAGGAAAAAGATCTCCGAAGAGAGTTCGACGCGGGAGAGAACTCGCTCGCGCTCGCGCGCGCGCGCGCGCAGGTGGATGGCCGCTTTTGGACCACCGTGTAGTAGCCGAGTCGGCGCAGGCGGGGGTCTTATAATATCGCGTCATACGAAACGATGAAATAGTGGCCGTAGCGAAGGAATGTTCCCTACCACTCGAGTCGTCGAGTTGAGTTGACTGGCGCGTTGCGTGGTTCGCCCGGCTCGACCGACCGCTTTCAACCGGTGTGTCTGTTCTCCGTTCCTCGCCAGTGTTTCTCTCCGCGCGTACAGGGTGTTTGGCAATTGCCGGATACAACCGGGAAGGAGTACCGGGTTCCCCGTCACGAAGCTCGATCCTCTTCCCCTCGATCTCCCTTCCTCCTCTCGAGAGCAATCCCCTTTCTCGTTTCTGTTTCTTCTCTTTTTTTTCTCCCTTCCGAGCCGACTGCACTTACGAATTGTTTCCGATCGCAGTTTAACGCAAATCGACCGTGACGGGGAATCAAAACGTCTTTGAAAGGATTGTTACAAGAACGATTGAACCTCAAACATCTCGAAAAGCGCGTTGGGTCGTTGGGAATTGCACTCGGTTTTTTTTACCGACAGGCCGCTCTCGGATCTACTTTGTTATTTTATGCTTATTGGCAGTTTACATTTGCGTATTCGCCCACTCGACGCGGGGAGAGACCGTAGAATTCATATACTGACGTGTATTATGACTACTTTTACGAGGCTTATCAATGAGCGAACATCGCGACGAGCATTACGATACCGGGCAGCGATATATCGCCATTAAAGATAACGCATGTATAAGGCATTAAGTTGATACGGCAATATCCAAGCGTGAACTGTTAATAATCTTCCCCTCACGTATCTAATGTCACATTGATTTATATGTAGAACGCCACTAACTGTATTCAGTTACATGAAGATTATACGATGTATATATTCAGCGGATTAAACGAAACAAACGCGTTTGCGGGAAGTCACATTTACAGAGAGAGGAAAATTTCGCTTCTCTTAAAGAGTTCTCTATTCTTCAAAGGAAGGAAAGAATAAATGTTAGATACAAGGGATAATTCATTTTAACTATTTCGCGACAAAAGCATAATTCTGAAGAGAGATGCCACAGTGCGTCAAGAATTGCATAGAAAATTTCTTGAAAATCTCAAGACTTCTCTCTATGTTGCCTCTTTCTATTCATAAAAAGCATTGGACTCACAATCTTTCGCTAGGTTTCGCAAAGTTAACAAAAGCCTACGCGGCATTAAATCGGGGCATTATATGGAGGCGCGTTTCGCGTTGAAGTACCGCGATCGCAACAGTTACCGAGTCATCCGAGAAAAAGAGGAGAGGAAAGAAAGAAAAAGAAATACTGTGCGGCGAAGAGACAGGAAATCGCCCATCGTGATTATCATTTCTACGATTTATCCTCCTCTCGCGGATAAAGCTCCGAAAAGCATTCACGCGCGCGTTTACACGCGCGTCGTCGTGGAGGGAGAGACACGCCACCGAGGCGAGGCAGAAACGACCGGAGCCGTCTCGAGAGAGAGATTCAAAAGGTGCTCGACGGGGCCAGGCGTGGGCTACCCGTGATCATCATGACAAAAGCTCGGGGCAAACATCCGTTCAATTTATTAGCTTATAGGCAACGCCGTCTTCGTACTACCTACTATACACCACCTACGACACCGGCCACGAACCGCCTATAATACCCGCAACATTATGGGCATGCTCCCAAGCTAGCGCGGGGTCCCCCCCTTTTCTCCCCCTTCTTGTCGACCGGTGGCCCGCTGCACCCTCCCGAGGCGAGCGATGCCGTCCTCCCCATAGAGTCCCAGTTTTTACGGTCGCGAGGGACCCGTGACATTTTCCGGACCCCGGGGGTGGGAGATTGTTACGCTCCTTCGAGGATTAACCCCCCTGACGATATTTAGTGATAACTTTGCGATAAATAGGGTAGTAAAGAAAAGAGAAAACGATCTTCTTTTACAAAATGACTCTTGTAGACACTTAAAAAAAGAGAAGTTCTAGCGATTATTATAATTATTAATTATTCGCACGATTGTCAAAAGTATGTTATTGTACGATTAATCGAAAATTTCAATAAAGTTACAGCGTCAGAAATCTTCAGTCGATTCGATGTGGTAAGTTTTTAAGATCTCGTGGATGAAAAAATTTAAACGTATAAAATTATCTCTCGAAAATATTTTATCATCTTGTTAGCATTATTTGTATCGTGATCATCATTGTTTTTAAGGAACTCGATATGTCTCGAATTTAGCAATCTCTCGATCGTTCCTCGTCCTTGTCCGTGCGATGCGGGACACGCGTGTTTCCAATTAAGGAATAAAAGAGATATTTCAGAGGATTAACTTTTATCGAACGTTTACAACGGGACGTCGGGAGAAATAGCGGAATATTAAGTTTCGCGCGGTTTATCGCCAATCTCGCGTTAAAGGCGGGAATCGCGCCGTAAATTCGCGCATTTATTCTTCGCGGTTTCGAGTTGCCACGTTAATAAGCAGAGGAAAACACGTCGACGAAGAATCGATGTATCATTCATTCGCGAATTAAATCACGGAACATCGCCTGCAGTCACGAACCGATCGCATAAAAACGCGAGTATCAACGAAGGCTTCTGTATGAAAGATGTGAAATGCACGAAAGAGAAATGTGACAATGTTTTGTCATTGGAATAATTCGCAGTATAACGCAAATTCTAATCCAGCTGACAAGAATCGGTCCTTTAATTGTGTTGAAATTTCGGTAACTCAATATTTATTGATGAAAGCACATTTGTTAACTACATTTTAGATTATTACATAAGTTATATATACCGGATCTAGTTTTTTTTTATATATAAATATTTTTAAAATGTAAAAAGAATCTTGCACATATATGCCATGTATAAAAAATATTTTTGATTTGATGTAACCTAAAACTGTTTATCTGCCGAGATTATTCAATTAACAATATTTCCCGTTGTAATACCCGCCGTTCTGCCGCCGTTCTGCGGCCGTTACTCCGCCTCTTTCCCATGAACTTCAGCTTTTCATTATCGCGCGGCGACTTCGCGCCTGCGACGTCTCTTTATCGGGAAAGAAGACGGCGTTTTATCGCCGTACACAGGCGTTCGCGCGGTCTGAAATTTTCTTCTCAATATATCGGCTTATCGGCACGGCGACTTTGCGGCGTAAATGCTCGAAATTATAGTCGATCGACCATGATTTCGCGGCGGAATTTTCGTTCCCTTAATCCCCACCGTGTGTAAATGGCTCCGCCCGCCTTCTTCCCCACGATTTACATGTTGCTGAAAAATTTATCAGACCCTGCCTCTCTCGAATCACTTTCCGATTATCTTAATTTTACGTAAACTTTTTCCTACACCGCCGATTACACTTTCGTTCCGGATGGAACGAACAACGTTTCCGCGGATAGCAAGAGATTGGTTCGTCATCAATCGGCCAATGACGACGGTGACAACGGCGTGGATGGAATATTACGTTCCGTGCGGGCAACATCGACGCCCACGATTAACGACCCGCGCCGATGATAACCCACGGGCCCACGCTCCCACCCTGGGATGGGGTGATGTCCCGACGCATTCGTTTTACGAGGCCATTTTCGGCGCGCGCGGCCACTCGAGGACTCGTCAACGATCACGCGAGCGAGAAGAGAGACCGAGGGAATTGATATGAGGGCGTGAAAAACGACACTACGAGCATCGCCAACGTCGTACGTTAAACTGACCCGCAGGTCGCTTGTTCAGCCATCGAATTTATTAAAATTACGGAGGCGACAGTCCTTCGCGGTATCACCATTCGCGAACGTCCAAATAACTTTTATTTCAACAATGTTCTAATTTAAGGCTTGGCAGATTTTAAATTGAGCATTTCAAAGAATCGTAAAGAAAGTAATCAAAATTTTCTATAAGAAAAAAGCACTTCTATAAGTTAGAGTCTCTTTTATATTTTTTTCTAGCCAGGAATATATATTTCTTTAAAATCCGAATAATCATCGGTGGTGTTATATTCGTGGATTATATATCCCCGGGGCGTAATCGAACGCGCAGGGAAGAGGGTTCCCCGCGTCACGTAATAGCGGTAGCATGTCCAACGGTTCCGACATTTCGCGTCCGGCGGCCATTGTGCGCTAAACTCCGAAATAAAGGGGAGATACGCCGCGACCCAGGAATTACGCATCCGCTGAAAGGCAGGCGCAAATTACAGAACGGCGTAATGGCCGGGGTGCATGAAGCGCCTTATCGCCGACAATTTCTGCGCGCGGGTCGCCGGAGGGGGAAAATCTTGCGAAATTATTCTACGAAGATTATATGGAGATCAGCGATCGATCTTGCACGCTTCGATCGTTGGCGACGCGTTGAATGTTTTTAACTGTTTTAACGTCAAATCCTTGCTAGAATTGCATTGAGCGCGTAACAGATCGTTTGAAAAATTGCTGAGGTATTTAAATTGCATAAACATCTAATTAAAAATAGCCGTGAAGTTAATTAATAGCTATTTGCATTATAAACATGAGTAATTGCAAAGGGGAATAATAATATATCGCCTCAGTATTTAAAAAACTCTGCATCGGCGCTGCAGAAATAAATATAAGAAGGCAAATATTTTTTCACGGTTAATTTCGATTCAATCTTAGGGCTCTAAAAGATGTGTCTGAAAGAAATTATCGTTTGAATTGAACTCGGTGACACCTGAGTTGATTACGGAACGGCAGATTTAGATAATCCTCTCACCTGGCCGTGCTTGTCCATGTCGTTGTTCGTCAGTTTCACCTTCTCGAAGGAAACAACCTGTTTCCGTAGTTGCTCGCCGGTGAAGGGTGAATCGGGATGGAGGTAAAGTCGCGCGGGCGCCGGCGGATCGGCTTTGCCGGCTTCCAGCCAACAGCTACGATGATAGGCGTATCGATACCTCTTGTTGTCGACCGGCACGATGTCCATCAACACTGCGTAACGACCTTCGGACTTGAGTCCGGTGAAGGATACTCGGCACGTCGGGAACATCCGTCTGCGAAAGAATGCATGTACAGAAACAATGTAATGACAAGCGATTAATAATCACGATAAATTAATTTAATCTGAGTAATTGGGAGTTTATTTCGATAAATAAGTTATATCTCACACAAGATATATACAAATAATCTTCTATTTTTAATTAGCTTTAATTACAGTTTATTTTCTGCACAAAACGATGTTGAAACGTTTTGAAACAGCATGGGAAAAAAGACTTAATTTGAACCTAGATAATTATACTAATTATATAATTTGTGAAATGTGTCAGCGTGAATTCTAAAACTTCAAAGCGACAAACAAAAACGAGTCTGGATCTTTATCGTGACGGACTGATGTCTGGTGTACGTAACCTAGTAATCGCAAAATGACGTAGCAAAATCAAGGTAAAACCTTTGCACTTCGTGACCGCTTTCACGATCGTTGCAGTCTCGCAACGGTACAAGTTATTAATTATAGAACAGTGCCTGCAACAAGTTTTCCTCAGCAGCGTAAACGTTTCGCCGCGCGTGCAGTATAACTTTCTGCTTAACAGTTAAAATGCTTTTTTTTATAAGCTTGCCCTTCTTTTTTTTAAATATTGCGGTCTAAAGAGATCATTTATTCGTCATAAAATAAGAAAAATATCAAATCTCTTTGTTCGCCATATTTATTATATTTCTTTCTATTTCTCGTCAATATGTGTTTCACTCGGTCATCCCGAATTTACGGTTAACTGTAGGTAGTTCCGATCAAAGGAAACGTCCACCTCTCCTCTTCGGGCTTCGTTCACAAAAGCCGAACTCCAGCTTTGAACCGGTCGCGTCTGCAGTTGACCTTTCAACACCTCGAGAAACGTCGGGCCGCACGCGCCCTCGTTGACGATGTAGAAGACACGCTGGAGATTTCCCGCCGGCGTAGCAGGCAAAACTGTGGCCCGACCTTCGCGTCCCAGGGTTCCCGACCGAGAGCTTTCACCCGGCCCACAATGTATGTTCTCTCTGTGACCGCACGCAATGGACTCGTGCCTGTGATTTACGCGTTTCGTGGAAGAACTCCGGGAACGATCAGATACGTCGGATACGTCAATAGCGATTTTTTTCACAGTGAGAAACTGGGTTCCAGCTGGTTTATCGCTAAAATCTGCTTGGCCCGGGCGTACGGGATAGAGAAATGCGTTTACTCTGAAACGCAATCGCGCCATTTCGCTTCGTAATATTTATTACATAATTGCGAACTACGTGAGACGCGATATGACGATTACTCGGTGCATATGAGATCCTTCGTTAATTTATTTGAGAAAATACTGTGTTATATGTATATATGTGATTCTTGATAACTTAACAATGCACGCGTGTGCGCCATAATTCTGCTCTAATTATCCTTGTGTCAGACGCAAGCCTGATCGAACAGAGAAGATTGAGGATGATGGATCCGCCTCGGCATACCTGTCGAGGTCGGCCAATGGTGTGTCCAGGACCGTGCAATCCACTAAAGGCTCATCATCACCATCATCACCGTCGTCATCATCGTCAGAAACCCGATATGACTGGGGCTGCCGTGCCAGAAAAAGGCATACCCTTGCCGGATGAGTTTTCTCAAATAACGCTGCTAAGATCTTTAATGACGGACACTTCCGTCACATCCGCGACTTCGACGGACGATACGTCGATCTCCGGAACATCATCCTCCACTAGGATCACTCTGATCAGAATCCCGAAAACCCCTCGAGCCAAAGAAACCGAAGTTCCTGCGATCATACAGCAAATCCTGTCGCCGGGAAGACTGGAGATGCTCGGAGAGCCGTCGAGACCGAGAACCGAGAAGCCGAGCGTGTCAGCACTCCCCAGAAAAATTGAATCGCCGATTCCGACGAGAACGATAGCCTTGCCGGAGGAAACAGCTGCGAGGGCACCGGAACATCGAGCACCGAGGTATCTGAATGACGTAAAATGTGCGATTATGACAAGACTGAACGGATTAACGAAGAGAGCGTCGCCTCTTTTTCTGTGTCTGACGATCGTGCTGATCTACGCGGGAATTCACGTGTTACTGGCTGTAATCGCGTGGCGAGCACCTGCGTACCAGTTTTTTGTGTCCAGTCAGATCTGCGGGGTCCTCGCGCTTCTTATGTGGCGACTGACCGGCACGATATTAATCTGAGCCGCGCGAGTAGATAACACATCGAGATAATACGCTGCCAGACAAACATCGAAATTGATCGACGTGTCTTATACTAATTTATCATAATTTCACATACATACGTAAAACAGTTACGTAAGTACTTCCGTTAAAGCAAGGATTAATTAATTGATGATCGGTGCTAAATTGATGAGTTCCACGGTCTAGAAAACGTGAGACACGAATATCTGAGATCCTAACGAACAAGATTATATCTAGATGTCAAGAATCTCTAAAAGTTTGTAAGGATCGATTTGCCAGTATGTCTTAATTGTATAATCGGAGAACATTGATGATTAATAATGTTATTGAAATAACTGTCATTTTTTTCGTTCGTTTTTTGATATCTGTACTTGGAAAGACATCCGACATGGGGTACGTTGGAATGTATAAAAATATATTCCCGCGCGGAAATGTACACGTATATATTTTCAAGTCTGTAGGCATCTCACTATCGTACAACTATATAAAATAGGTCTCCCACTAAAACATCGATAATTTTCAACAAAACATTCGTTACTTTCGTATGGAAGAGCTAAAAAGGCACGTGCTTTTTTGTTCGCCCCGAATCCTTGTCCCGCACGAACGCTCCTATCGTTTCTGTCGGCTTCTCGCGGACAAGACCGCAAGGGTAATTGCCGCGGTTTTCTAGATCTATTTATTCGATGACAGGCGTCCTTTTCCTTTTCGTGCACCGAGGGGCCCGAGGGGCCCGCAGGACTCGTTCACGAGGACGAAACGAGATTGGGATCCTTAAGGGAACACAGATAAGAGAGGCCCCGGGCTTGCGTCACGCGAGTGCCCCGTCGCCGTCTATTCGTAGGGCCCGAAAAATACCCCGGAGGACGGTCCCCCGCGACGCGGACTTCGCTGCGCCTTGGAAAGCGGTTTTGCGGTTTCGAGCTCCTCGAAAACGATCCTCCCTTACTCCGCGGCACGTACGCGTTCGGTTAGGTTCGTGCGGTTTTTAACAAGCGCATTGTCCAAACCGCGCGTTGAATAGTATCGTTGTTACGTCGCCCGGGGATCCGGCGCACCTTAACGAAACGATTGTCGGCCCTTAGGCGAGGAATTAGCCGAGCGGTGCATTCGAAATGCGCACACATCTCTGCGCGCGCGAGAGAAGCAAGCTCTTTATTCGCGGAGTCGACGACGGAGATTCGCGGCCTCATCTCTCCGCGTTTGTAATTCGATTCCGTCGTACCCGAGATCTAGATTCGCCTCTCGATTTCACGACGACGATGACGTGACATTTGATACGTAAAACTCTAAATTATCGCGATTGACTGACGACGTCGTGAAGTTTAACTGCTATACATAAAACGTTAGGGAATTACGTATCCTTGAGCGATAAAAAATCCATTTTAGGGATAATAAAAAGACAATTTGAACATGTTTTAATTCATTACGATGTTACACGTCGCACGATAACAATAATATCTAATCAGCAATTATAGAAGTAACCTGGAGTCCCTTTGAGCTTAGAAATTATTATAACAATCTATTTTTGTTGTTTACTTAAAATAAGTGTAGGTAAGTACTCGTATATCTCGAGGCATCGTACAATTTTGCATATATTACGAAATGAGCAGCGGCCATCTGTGACCACGCGCGCTGCCACAATGTGGGTTATTAATCCCACCATCGAAAAATATTGCGGTTGAGCTATCGTAATTACTCCGAGTTGACACTCTATAAAATCATCAGGGTCGTTTACACCTCCTTCAGCCCTGCACCCCGAGGCAGCTGCAGCTAACTCGCTTATCGCCCGAAGCCGGCCTTGACGTGGACGACGTTTCCTCCGAGGTGCTCGGTGCTCGACTTTCACCTGCTGCACGCGCGCGCGCGCGCGTTCGCGCGAGCACGTTATGCTAAGAATAAATTTCGCAATCGTGCATACATGCAACATTGCCATTCTCACCGGTGTCTCTGTCGTTATGCGATCGTCGCGTTTCCGTAAACGTTATTGCGTTCACAACGCAATAAATCATCCGGAAAATTGCCATTAGGGGCGACCACCCTGCCGGATAAGCGCGTCAACTATTTAAGTATCGATGGCGAACCGATCGACGCCTCTCCCTCGAGAGGCGCCGCCACCCTTGCGATCCCTATCGCGCATTACGCTTGTACCCCCATGAATCCCGTGCTTAGTGAGTCATGTTTTTACGAGGATCGCGCGGCGAACGAGTCAATTCGTGCGGCGCGTGTCACTTTCGAATGCGGAACGCGTATCGCTATCGAAATTGCCGCGACCGTGTCGGAGTGACACTCCCGCTTCGCTTTATCTCCAAAACAACAACTTTGTAAAGCTAAAGTTTGAAAAGAGATGTTTAAATTAAAAACATTTAAAATGAATCGTGAAAGAAAATGATCTTAAAAATTAAATATCTCATGATGTAAAATTTATTTAACGCTGTACATGAAATGGAGATTTTATATGTCCTCAATTCATTCGTGTTAAAATACGCCCTAAATTTCATTAACTTCAATGTATATTAAACACCTCTATAATTAACTCGCGACGTCCATCCGAATGTGCATTCGTTCCTCTACATTAATTTCTTCGGCAATCAATTACGCCACCATCATAGGCACTCGAGTATTAAGATCATAATAATAGCTATAATTAAAATGAAACCTTCGCTCGCCACATGGCCCGCCTTTATTATTCATCGCGACTTAACCGATCCAAGTGTTTTCCACCATCACTTTCCACGATCGCGATAACAGACGTCCTAATTTCACCTGCGGCTAATTTATTTTTGATTCCGACGCCAACGGATCGTCCACCTCGAATTCGTCGGTAGGCCTCGCGTCCGACATTACGGCGCATTTCCC